CCAAAACCAAAATTTTATTGCAGATTCGGGGTCCTCTCGCCGAGCGCAGAACGGCCCCTGTTTCAATATATATATGTATATACAGAGTTGCCAGGCCGAACGTACGGAGGCCCCTAAGCTGACCCCCGAACGTTTGGGCGTTCGGGTTCCCGTACGGGGCCCGAACTCGAAGGGGTTAGGACCCCGCAAAAAATTATTTCGGTACCTAAAAAATATTTTTTTTTTCTGATTGTTTTTTTGTGAGTTCTCTGTTATGGAAGCTACCTGTCTATCAATTTTGAAGTCATTCTGTGGAGCCAAGCAATAATAAAAAATCGGCGAAGATGGTGGTGTCAAAACTTGCTTTCCCACTTACTAATTTGTTTTTTTTCTCTTTTCACTTTTCGTTTTCCCTTTATTTCGGGGCCTGAACAAAATTATTATTTTTTCAAACTTTATTTGTAGGTTCTCTATTATGTAAGATACATGTGTATAAAATTTCATGGCATTTGACAAAGCCAAAAAAAAATGAAAAATCGCCAAAGATGGCGGTGGGTGTCAAAAACTTGCTCGCCCACGCAATAATTTCATTCTCGTATTATTTTTTCTTATTTTCATTAATACTATTTATTTTTCGTATTTGATTTTTATTTCAAATTTGGTAATGAATTTAGATGTACTGTTGAGGTAAATGTTGTTTATTTTATTCTTCTGCATGACATTTTTTTTTTTCAGAACTTTCAGAATTTTATTTTTTTTGGTTTCGCGTTCGGCCGAACGTCCGAACGCGTCGAGAGGGGGTCCCAAACGTTCGGGCGTTCGGGTTCGGGTGTTCGGCCCGTCCCGAACGCCGGCAACCCTGTATATATATCGTCAAAAAGAATATATATATTGTCGCATCACTACAAACTAAAAGAGCGCACTTTGCGGAACAAAGAATAAAAGCAAAAAACGGGCACAGTGATAACATGCAAAAATAAAAATAAAAATAAAAACAAAAAGAAGAAACAAGGGCAGATTGAAACCACTAAATTTCTCATTCTTCTTTGAACTCCACCTCCACTGTGCCTCTCACGTGCAAGGCTCGCCACGTTGATGAAGTTGAGCGCTATATATATATATATATCGTCACAAACAGAACTGTCCGGTAAACCGTAGGCAGAGAGAGAGAAGAGGACAACAAACGAGGGGCTGTGACAAACTGTTTCGTCGGAGTTTCACCGACTCATCAGGAGGCTGAACCCTC